TTCTAAGTAGGTGCTTTAGACCACTGAGCCATCTCTCCAGCCCCATGATACTAATTCTTGCATGGTACTTGGTGATAGTCCCCAAACCCAAAAACTCTGCTTCCCTGTACTGGGTACCGAATCAGTGGAGCTTTGATCTATATCCCCAGCCCGTTATGAGACAGATCTTGCCAAATTGCCCATGATGGCCCCAAACTTGTGATTCTCCTGTCTTGGCTTTCTAAGCGCTAGGCTAATAGGTGTGTATAAAACTGAGTTCTCTTTGAATCTTTATCTTTCAGACAAATGAACCTCTCGCCTTCTTTTAGACAAAATATATATTCCCTAATATACTTCATGAGCTAAAAACCATGATCAACTGGCTAAATACAATCAATAGATTAATAGCAATTAAAAAGATTATACAACTATAATGAATGCAAAAGAATGCATTTTCAAACTTATTCTTGAAGTCTAAATATTAAAAACATGTAATGCCAAGGTTCCATGGAACACAAAAGTGGTAAAGTATGGAACTAATCTATTACTTTATTCTCCTTATGCTGCTACTCCATATAACTAACGAACTAGACAGGATACATAGAGACATTCTGGGCTGCATCTGAAAATATCTACTGCTAATGACAATAAGGTCCAACATTTAGACTGGTTCACATTAAGAACCTGTACCTTGGGGCTGGAGAGATGGCTCAGTGGTCTAAAGCACCTACTTGGAACAAGCTTGGCAAAGCACAGGGACCGCGGTTCGATCCCCCAGCACCACATGCCGGCCAGCCGCGCCCCCTGGTGGGCTGAGCTGGCCACACACACACACACAATAAATAAATGTTAAAAAAAAAAAAAAAGAACCTGTACCTTTAGATGCCGAAACACTGGCTGGATTAGCAGCATGACAGGTTATACAGATGTGGAGAGAGCACCGGAAGCCCTTGTTCTGCATGACAGTTGGTGGGTACTTCTGGACACATTCTTCATGATAAAACTTTCCACACAAGGGTAGAAGGCACCTTTTAACATCTTCCCCACTCTGCTTACATACAAAACAGGTATGGATTCCTAGAAAGCGGGGAAAAAAGCAACAAATTAACACTAATTAAAAAATCTACTGGTGTTTAAACTACAATTTGAAAAGATACTGAGGAACTTTCTAACAGGTACACTAGGTTGGTGACATCTTAATTCAATGAAAAACGTGGCGGGGGTGGAAGAGGGACAGGGAGAGGGAGAGGGGGAAGAGGGGGAAGAGGGGAGAGGAGGAGGGGGGAGAAGGGGAAGAGGGGAGAGGAGGAGAGGGGAAGAGGGGAAAGGAGGAGAGGACTCTAAGATATTTATCCAAGAAAAAAGAAAATACAGTCTATGTAAGTCTACATAGAGACTTAAATGTGCATGGCAGCCAAAACTGGAAACAAGCCAAATGTACATACACAGATAAAACAGATCAATAATCTATGCAGCAACAAAATGGAATGAACTATTAACATAAACACATGAGTCTCAAAGTAATTATATTAAGTTACGGTTTTCCATGAACATGTATATACAGAGATCACAACTATATGCAATTCATAATCTATCAGTTATACCTCAATAAAATCTCATTTTTTTAAAGTCAGGGATTGAACCCAAGGTTTGGTTCTCTATGAAAGAATTATGCCCCTTACCATTTTAATTAGCCTTTATTTTGACAGGGGGCCTTGTTAAGTTGCTTCAGCCCCCGGTGTAGCTGGGTTTACAGCTGTGTACCACCAACTTGGTTCAAAGAGTTATTTTTAAGGAAGACAATGAAGAACAGATAAAAACCATCAACACTGAGTTTTAAAGGCATCATAATGCTGAGTTAGACAAATAAGTATGTACTGTTTCACTTCACTTACATAACATTTTAAATCTAACTCTAGATAAACTTGATCCAAGACTACTGCATTATGATAAAGATAGTATGACCAAAAAATATGAATTTTTGACAGGACAGATAAAAAGCTTTTAAGATTACCATATTGGAAACATGCACATTATCTAGTAGACATTTTCTAAATTTCATTATAGGATTAGACAGGACTCTTGTGTACCAGGAATCCAACTCTTGGCCCCACACATGCCAGGCAGGCACTGTGCCATGGAGTTGTATCTGCAGCCCTAGATAGCACTATTTCTTATTCTTTTTAAAAAAAAAAATGTATTTGGTTGTTACAGGGTCTCACTAGGCAGCTTGGACTTGTGGTGATCCTCCTGCTTTCAGCCTCCCCAGTGCTAGGATTATAAACATGCACCACTATGCCTGGACTCTGGCCCGCTCAGCACTCACTGAGGGTGGGGCTGGCGTGGCATATAGTGTCAGAGATTGAACTGTGGTCCCTGCACTTTACCTAAGCAGGCACTTTAGTCCACTGAGCTATCTCTCTGGCCCACTATTTCTAATAATTATCAAAAGTTCACCTGTGCAGAAGGCAAAATAATCCCATGAATACCATCTTCCAGTCTTTGTTCCCTCAATGGTGAACATGACTGCAAGCAAATAAAGTAACTCCCCTCACAGAATGGACTTTACTCTGTCACAAATCTCTATACACTGGCATAAGATTATCATGTGTTTCCCACTGGGGTTACACTGAAGCTACACTACACCTTGAAGCTATAAACAACAACTACCTTTCCCATCAGTCTCCCCAGGGCAAGAAAACAAAACCTTCAGTCTTCTCTTGAGCCTCGTAATTCCAGGGAACATTCACATTTTGATATAAACCTGTGGATTATCCTTTGTCTCTCTATGCTCCAACATTATTCATCCCATGGTGTAGAAATTCATTTCTTTATACTAATTTTCCTCTTTCCTCACTCCCTTCACCCTGTTAATATACTAAGGATGGAACCTAGGAACTCACACTGAGCTACATTTGCAGTTCCCTTATTTTTTATTTTAAGACACAGCATCTGTAAGTCTCAAAATTCCCCAGGCTGGACTTGATTTGCTATTCCCCTATCTAACCTGTTGCACTATGTAGTTTTTGCCTCCTTCTGACAAACACTCAAAATTGCTTGGACAAATATGAAAGCCCGGCTAGGCGTGGTAGCACAAACCTGTAATCCCAGCTCCTGGGAGGCTGAGGGAAAAAGATCACTGTGAGTTGAGGCCTGCCTGTGCTATAGCGAGACTCTTTTTCAAAGGTAAATTAAAAAGCTTTTTTGTACTCCATGACTTCCCCAGTGCATGTCCTATCTGAGCCTGCTGACACCTAACTCACAGCAGCTTCATAGATAACTGCCTAGCTCACACTCCAATAGCTCCTTAGAAGTGATTATCCTCAGATAGTTTCACTGATTCTTTTTCATGCTACAGATGCTTTCTCATTGGGTATCAAGGGTTTCAATGGGGGCCGGGGAGATGGCTCAGTGGAATAAGTGCTTCCCTGGCAAGTGCAAGGACCTGAGCTCAATCCCCGGTTCTGGGAAAAAAAAAAAAAAAGGTTTCAATGACTTACATGCAATATTATTGCTTAAATGCTATAATATCAGCACATCATGCTGAATAAAGGAAATTTTCCTTAGCAGTATATAAAGTGCTTTACAGGTTCATTTTACATAATCATCCTCCTCCCCTCCCCCTGTACCAAGAATCAAACTCAGGACCTTCTGCTTGCCAGATTGGTGTTCATGCCACTGAGCTATATCACCGGCCAACATTTCATTTTTTTAAAAAAATGTATTTGGTACAGGGTCTTAGTGCACAGCTTGGGCTTGTAGTGATCCTCCTGTTTTCAGCCTCCCCAGCCCTGGGATTACAGGCACGCGCCAGCTCAGCGCACCTGAGGGTGTGACTGGCGTGAGATGGAAACCCAGTCCCTGTGCTTGCCAAGGCAGGTGCTTAGTATACTGAGCTATCTCGCTGGCCCAACATTCCCACTTTCTGCTTCAATTTGTTTGATTTTTGAGATAGGGTCTTGTTTCTAGTTCATGTGGTCTTTATCACATGGCAATCCTCTTGCCCAAGTGCTGCGATTACAGGAGTGACCCACCAGGCTGGCCTGTTTATACACTAGCTTTTCAAAGCAATCTTTTTCTTTTATTGATAAACATATTGATATATGATACCCAAAGGAAAAGTGCACCCATCTTAAATGTATAGTGCATGGACAGCCATGAAGTGAACATCTCATACAACAAACATGAGATAAAAAAATAAAAATATTATTAGTAACCAAGAGGCCCTCACAGTTACTTATGCTTGTGAACTAAACTATCTTAATTTCTATATACATTAGCATACCCTCCCTATTCATCCATTATTTCATATACTTTCAATACTAGACCTTGCTTATGCCTCTGCTCTCCCTGTACCAATTTCAATTTCTCTCTGAAAACAGATGTCCCTCTTACAAAATCAGCTCATCTGGGGCTGGTGAGATGGCTCAGTGGTCTAAAGCACCTACTTAGAACAAGCTTAGTAAAGCACAGGGACCGCGGTTCAATCCCCCAGCACCACATGCCAGCCAGCCCTGCCCCCTGGTGGGCTGAGCTGGCCACACACACACACACAAATAAAAAATTAAAAACAAAATCAGCTCATCTTTGGTAACATTGTACTGTTTTTCTCTTAAAACAGGGTATGGCTATGTAGAACAGGCTGGGCTCAAATGTGATCTTCTTGCTACTCACACTGTACTTAAACTAATTCCAATATAATGCCATTTGTGGTATGTATTAAACTGCTTTTTTTTTTTTTTTTTTTTTTTTTTTTGCGGAACCGGGGATTGAACTCAGGCCCTTGTGCTTGCTAGGGAAGTGCTTATTCTACTGAGCCATCTCCTGGCCCAAACTGCTTCTTATTCATTTGATGTACTTTTCTGAGGATAGGAATCATACAGCATCCATTTCTGTAAGTGTAGGGAATACTACAGCATGGCCATAAAATAATGTCTCAAGTATTTTTCTCCTGAAACTAAAATTTTCTTTGTAAGAAGACTCTTCTGTGTCTTTTACCTGTGCGACACTCATTGCAGATAAATTTTCCTCGTGGCATCTCAGTTAACCCAAGGCACTCCAGGTGGAAAGCCCCACAGCACTGAGCCTCACATAAAAGCAGCTCACCCACTTTCTCACAGTTCTGTTAAAAGAAAACATATTTGTCTATAGAAAAATATATATCCTGAAAATCCCAAATGAAAGTACCCCTCATGAGTGTAAAGGTTAAGAAGGCTTTACAAAAATCATAAAATCCTCCTGAACATTTAAACTAAATTTATACTAAACTAACATTTAAAATTTACTTCCCATGTTCCAGGTACAAGAGCCCTGGCTGTTACAATACCAATTCTAGAGATACAAGTTATAAGCAAGTAAACAGGAAAGGTATCAAATAATGATTACATGAGGTACAGAATTCAAACAATTACTTTGGAGAGGGTTATTAGGAATAGCATCTCAGATTGGGTTATGAGGGGGCCTGCCCCTTAGCTCAGTCCTTTAAGTGGCTGCTTCAACAAAGCAGTCAGCTATGAATGTCCATTTTGTATCTGTGTATTCAAAGTGGTTGGGATAGATATATAGTTGCATTCTCTTAATGAATAGAATGATTTGTTCTAATGGTGTTTGTAAATAGGATCACAAGTCTGCATCTTGTACAGCAATTAACCACTAAGAAGAATATATGCAGTGTATTATTTGTTGAAACTGTACTTCTGATTTGATTTGAAACTGTCTCATTGCTGTTTATCAATAAAACTTTGAAAAAAAATAAAAGAGACAGTTAATGCTTAAAAAAATAAATAAATAAAAGTGAAATGTCAAAACAAAAAAAAACAAAGCAGTCAGCCTCAGGTTGCTGTGGTTTGATTCCCCAGAACCCAAGCCAGCCAAACCTGCCCTGAAGGCACTCAGAACCCCCCCCAAAAAAATCCTTCTGTCAGATTGGGCTATGAACACAAGACAGGTATGTGATAAACTAAAGAACAAGTAAGGTAGAAAGTACAAAAGTCCCTGGCATATTTGAGAACCACAAAAAAAGCAACTATCAATAAAGTAAACAAAAGTTACAAATGGCAGAATACAACAGGTAATGGCCTATTGTTTTAGATTTTATTCGAATTTCAAAGGTATATCACAGGACAGCTTCACCCAGAAAAGGTGAAATGAAGTTTTCATTGTGAAAAGATATCTCTGGCTGCTACACAGAAAAACAAATTCAGGAATAAAAAATCAAGAGCAAAGAGACAAAATCAGAAGACTACACTGCAGTAGTTTGGGCAAGACATACTGGTTAGCTGAACTTGAGCTACCTATCAGTTCCAAAAGAAACACTAAGAATGTCTGACAATCACAGATAGCTAGGCTCATCTCAGAGAAATTACACTTGAAAGGTGATCTCACCTAAGACAAGTTATCATTTAAGACATGTATTAGAAGGTCAGGGATATAGCTCAGTGGCTCAACGACTGCCTGGCAAGCACAAGGTTCTGAATTTGATTCCCAGTACCCACTGTACCCCCCCAAGACAAAGTATTAGAAAATGAGCCTTAATTTGTATAAATGTGTTAATAGGTTTATGAAAATTCTGTAAATTCTCAACATTGGGGGCCGAGATGTCTCAGTAGAATAAGTGCTTGCCTGGCTGGCGCAAGGGTCTGAGTTTAATCCCCAGTAGAGTTGTTTGGAAGGCGGCCAAATAGTTCAGCAGATTAAAGAGCCTGCAAGCAGGCACGGCTCTTCAGAAAGAGTTGCTGGGTGGGGGGGGGGGGGAATTCTCAACATTATTTTCCACTATTTCGAACCCTAATTTGAAGCCCTACACCACAAAAATGCTACGAATAATGTATGTGTGTAGTGGTGGTGGGATCCTTATGTATCAGCCATTTATAACTACCCTATGCATATCCTCTTAAAAACTACATCTGAAAGTTACTTATTATATACCTCATACAATGTAAACGCTATGTAAATCATTGTTATACTGTATTATTAAGGGAATAATAAGAGTCTGTGCACGTTCAATGCAGAACCTACCATCATGTAACTTTGTTTTTCCAAATATTTTCCATGTATGATTCATTGAATCCATGGATGCAGAACCTATGAATATCTGGATAAGAAGGCTGACTGTACTTATTGTATAAGGTAAGAAAGGACAGAAGTTCTATTGGAATTAAAAAACCAAAGGAACAGAACAGGTCTTGATCACTTAAAAGACAATAATGCTTAAACAAATGACTAGGACAAGGGGAAAAAAAAAAAAGGACTAGGAAAACTTCGGGAAGAAAGGCCAGAAAGACAGCCTAAAATTGAGATGGACTCTAGGGCTTTAACCTGTAGCCCAAAGTATTCTCACATGTTTGACTCACCCATACCTATTGATGACACCTAAAAACTGAAAAGCATCAAGTTATGTATTCTGCTTTGTTATGTTAGGAGTGCCAGGGTAACCCATTTGGGATCCCTCCTGTCTCTCAAGAGCTATTTCTATTCACTCCCCAATAAATTTTCCTACTTAATAAAATTTTCCTATTCTAAAAAAAAAGTGTCAATGACATCAGCTTTCATATACAGTGAGAAAATTTACCTTCAAGGCTTTTTTTTTTTTTTTTTTTTTTTTAAGGCTTTTTAATAGAAGAAAACAGTGTAGAAAGTAAAGAATAAAAATTTCAAGTGAACTAAATGTTATGGACGAACATTTTGGTTGGCATGGCCATATCATTTATCTTTAAGCAGGGAAGACTGAAAATGGAAACTGGAGTAAAATCATATAAATCAAAACACCATACAGTGGGCCTCCATTTATATTTTAGTTGCTTCAATTTAAAAAATAGTATCAAACTTGAATATGCTAACTTCAATAATTTACATATCTAAATCAAGACCTAATAAAAGAGAATATATTCAAAGTATCCACTTAGTTGACAATTCTCAAAGTTAAAGGCTCTTAAACAACAAAATAAAGTCAATTCTTAGAGAAGAAATAGTAACACAATGTTTAAGACTCTAAACCCTGCCTAAGTATAATCTAGGCTTTTGTCTATTATATGAAAGCTACTTAATCTTTCTGTAGCTTCAAGTTTTTCAAAGCAGCACTCGATGAGACTATGATGACTGATTTTAAAAAGTGCTTAGAATATACATAATACTGCCTATGTATATTCATTTCATGTATTTATATTTATGTATTTTAGTAAGTACATAATACTGCATGTATATATTAAAAAGTGGATTTTATTTTTTAGTGATAATAGAGATTAAACTTGGGACCTTGCACTTGACAGGCAGGCTCTTATGCTAATGAACTATCTCTTCAGCCCTTAAATTTATTAAATAAGTGGAAGAGTCAAGAAAAACAAACCAGGACAAACAACAACTCAAAGCTAAAATAGCAATAAAAAAGAATATAGAAACCTAAAGATTGTCATACTGGGCAAGGTACAGATCAAGAAAATAATGTAAAAATATATACACATCTCTCACCTCAGATCTGTTGGGTATGCATACAAGGAAAAATGATTCATCAAAACTAAATTATTTTTCTCTTTTTTTACTGAAAAGAACAGTTACAAGCTTAAAGTAACTTCACTGGAACCATCCAAAAGCAAATTTTTCTAACCACGCTGATGTTAACAACAGGCAGGTCTTCTACTTAAAGATAAACATGCAATGAAGATATAAGAAAGATCGTGTACCTGACAAACATTCTCCTTGAGTGCAGCTCCTCCCCCTCGTTCACCCTGCAGTTTTTTAGAAGAAGACATCCCAGCATCGTGTTCTATACCCTCTTCAACATTCTCCTTCGGGCTTGCAGCTGTCCTGTGAGTCATCAGTTCACCCTTACAGAGAAAAAAATGTCCCCCATCTGCATTATTGATGTCTCCATCTGACCCCCTCCCTCTGGGCTGCTATTGTCTAGCCATTAAGCACTTACAGATGTTCAGCCAATCACGCGGGCGGACTGCATGCAATGTTAGTTCTAACCCTGCTGTGATTGGGCGGGTAGTGGGCGCCTCATGCCCTGCCACTAACTGCTCTGAGGCTGTTCCACTGGAACTTTTTGAGTTGTTCCACTTAAAGGTTTCACTAAGGAAGAGAAAACATTCTTAAGTTTATTTGATTATTTATATGTCCTTCCAAGATCAGTGTTTCCTAAATAATGCCTTCTTTGGGCATTCTATTCCAACTGTCCTGGAAAGAAATACTTATCATTATAATGTGTGATGCTGTTCTGATTGGTTCTAATTCTCTTTTTCCCTAATTCTATTTAACCTGAGTTAGAAAGTGAGATACAGCATCAATGACTATACTGCACTGAGGTACTACATAAAAATGATTTTAAATTTTTCTTAAAAGATGCTGCTTATATATATTGTCTTAAAGTTAATCAATTGATGGTCAAAAATAAGCAAGTCAATATTCTCCTGATTGGAGTGGTTTTAACTTTTAAAGGACATTATCTAACTTTAGGCATTCTCTTAATTAAGTCCATTCAGAACATATGGCTACTTGATATTGTGCTCTTTGGTTTAAGAACAAATTGACTACTAACAAGTATACATTGCATTTAATACCTAGTGATATAGGATGTGATCTTTTTTAAAGACCACAGCCACAGCTGTAATATGTGACTTATTAGAATCAGGATCTTCTACTTGAGGAATTTTATACCTACCAGCCATTTCAATAGAACACTATTCATAAGTAAATACAAGGGAGAGGGTCATGGCCTCTACAAGTAGCTTGTCTTTGAAAGGTCAAAAGATCAGGAACTGAGTGATACCTCTGAGCCTGGAGTCGCTTTTGATGAGTCATCACTTTTCACTCTTTTACACTGCACTTTGGGTGTAATATGTCTCTGTCGTTTTCGTTTCCTTGGCTTGTCAAACATCTTGGTTGTGCCTATGACAGGAAAACAACTGTTACCTAACAACTAGTCACACACATATCCAAAAACTCCTATCTTTAAATAAAGGAATCTCAGAGTTACAGTATGTTAACTTTAATACTACTACTACTGTGGTTATTTTTAAAGACAGGGTCTTACTACGTAATTCAAGCTGGCCTTGACCTCACTATGTAGCCCAGGGTGTCCTCCAAATCCTAGCATTCCTCCTGCCTCAGCCTCCCAAGTGCTGGGATTACAGAAATGTGCCAGCCTACCTGCTGGTATATTAGGTTTTTTGTTTGTTTCTCACTGGCCCCCTCAGAGTGCCCTGGGGGCCTGGGCGGGGCCAGGATGGAATCCTTGGACCCTGCTTGCAGGTGCTTTAATCCACTGAGCTATCTGGCCAGCCCCCTGGTATGTTAGTTTTAAAGCTCACTTAGGGCCGGGAAGATAGTTCAGTAGAATAAGTGCCCACCTAGCAAGTGCAGGGTCCTGAATTTAATCCCAGGTACTGAAAGAAAAAAAACAAAAACAAAAACAAAAACAACTCATTTAAATTTTCTAACTTTTTTGGGGGAGGAATAAATTCTCTAACTATTCATGGGGAAAAAAAAAAAAAATCAAAGAAACCTACCCATTTACTCAAATACTTGAAGAGGGCTGGAGAGATGGCTCAGTGGTCTAAAGCACCTACTTAGAACAAGCTTAGCAAAGCATCAGGGACCGCGGTTCGATCCCCCAGCACCACATGCCAGCCAGGCCCGCCCCCTGGTGGGCTGAGCTGGCCACACACACACACCACACTCTCTCTCTCTCTCTCTCTCTCTCTCTCTCTCTCTCTCTCTCTCTCTAATAAATAAATAAATAAATAAAATAAAAAAAATAAATAAATAAATAAATACTTGAAGAATTAATCATATAGAAGCTCTGCCTCACATATTAAATAGTAAATGCATAGATTACCAAAGCCATTTCATTTCATAAGACTGAAATGACACAACACACTTTCTTGTTGATAAAGGATCTGAATATTCTACCAATGGAGAGAAAATGTGTGGTGTGTCTACTAGTCAGGAAAAGATACCCCTAAATGCTAAGGTGAGAGACAGTAAATTATATCATTGTACAGCCACTTGGACCAAAAAGTCAGTTCAAGGCCAGCCTGAACTACATAGTGAAACCCTGTCTCAAAAAGACACATATAAACAAACAATTATCTCACTTTATGATTTAAGGATCAACTAATATGGAAAAGGTAAGTTTTGGTTTATGGAGGAGCAGGGGGAAATTCCTCAACACATTTAGTTGCTTGAATTAGGATATTTAACCAGTGGTAATAGGTCCTCAAATATCCAACACCATGACATGAATGTATGACCTTGTCTGACAAGTTCAGAAAAAGAAACTCTAGTCCAGTGGTGGCAAACCTATGTGTATCAATGAAAGCTCTAGAATGTTCATCATTATTCTACTCCCCTTCTCAGTTCACAGGACATATTTTAACTCCTTGCTACAGAGACATCCCCAGGAACCTAAAGAGGTGCATCAGAAAGTGTTCCAAGACATTTATATTTTGGGGAAACAATCTTGCTATATAGTTTTAGGCTGGACTTGAATTCACTATGTAGCTCAAGCTGGCATCAACCTGCAGCAATCTTCCTGCCTCAGCCTTGTAAGTGCTTGGATTACAAGCGCCACCATGCTTCGCTTACTTGTACATTAAAAAAAAAAAAAAAAAAAAAAAAAAGATTAAGTATAAAATTTAATTTTTTTAAGTTTTTGGAGTTAGGGATCTTACTTTCTTTTTTTTTTTTTTTTTTTTTTTTTTTGAGATAGTCTCAATCGCAGTCTCAGAGTGCCCCAGGGGCAGGGCTGGCATGGCAGGCCCAGGGATCAAACCCCTAGCCACTGCGCCTGCTTGCAGGTGCTTTAATCCGTTGAACTATTTGACCAGCCCTACTTCTGTTTTTTCTCTGGTACTTGGGATTGAATTTAGGGCCTCATGCATGCTAAATATACAATCTAACAATGAATTATATTCCCAACCCATGAGATAATATTTAGGACCTGGAACAGTTAGATGACATTTATAAAGGATAAGGTTCATTTGATAGGTTTTTACAAAAGAACAAATGTAAAAGAGATAATATTTTAGAAGTAGTGTATTGTAAAAGCAAGCAAGCAAACTAACCAATGGGTTTATAATTGCCTGCATGGTTACAATTAACATGTTGCTAGAAAATTTCACAATCATGGATCATGATAAAAGTATGTATCTAAAACCACATGAAACATAATCTTCTAATATTTTTGGTGGAAGACGATCTTGTGAAATGTTTTTAAATCTAGACATTTGAAGAATGACATCAATGAATAGTAGTGGCATAAAAATTATCAAAACGGTACAAAGAACTAGCATGGAGAAAATGATGGGTACATAAAATGGTGGTGTGGCAATGAATTTGGTCTGGATTTAGTTTCTCAATTCTACTACTTTGGTTCATCTTGTTTCTACTTTAAAACAGGGACAATATAGATGATATTTTAACTCTTTATAATGCTTTAGATGGATCATAAGTACTTCCACCAAAAGCCCTGGTTGAGTAGATAATCAATGAATATCCTATATGCTATGGAATGAAGAACTATTTATCCTTCCCGAGGACAAAAACAACATTACTAAGTAGAAGTTTTATAACTTTTATATATATAGATAGATAGATTTACATACATATGTGTTTATATATAGAGAGAGAGATAGCATCCAATTTCTTTTTTTGTAAATATCTATCTATCTATCTATCTATCTATCTATCTATCTATCTATCTATCTATCTATCTGGTACAGGGTCTCACTATCGTAGCTCAGACCCCTAGTTATCCTCTTGTCTCAGCTTCCCGCGCTGGGATTACAGGCATGCACTATCCACACCTGGTTTCGGGGCCAGCCAGCATGTGGTACCAGGGACTGAACCTGGGTCCTTGCACTTACCAGGCAGACACTTAGACCACCGAGCTATCTCCCCAGCCCTAGCTTCTAATTTCATATGGAAGATACTCAATCCCTTAGGAGACAACGAAAATAGAGTAGGTTCAATAGATGCTTTTTTGAAGCTTATGCCAACTAGCCAATGATTATACACCTGATAAACTAGAAAACTATAAAAAAATTAGCATAAGTTATTTATGACTTCTCCATTTAAAGTCAAGAAATCAATGGTAGTCTGAAGACTGAGACTTATAATGAAATTAAGTAGCTTTTTCTCTTTATTGTTCCAAATATTTTCTTACTCAGATATAATTATAACTTCATGTAACTGGTAACAGCATAAAAATAAAAAGACTCAAAAATTTTCTAATGTGAATAGTTTTAAGAACCATATTTTGGAAAAACCAGTCTCAAAATTTCACTTCTAATTCTATCTATGTGATATCAAAAATACTCACCTCCACGAATATCCTTCAAATGAGAAGCAGCACATGATTCAGTAATGCCATTCTCCAAATGACCACCTTCATAACACTAGAAGCAAAAAAAAAAAAAGCGGCATGTTTTACCAACAATAGAAAAGAAAAAAAACTTTGTACATTCAAATCTGAATTCTCTACTGCCATAAATACATTCTAGGGCCAGGGATACAGCTCAGAAGCATAAGTGCCTGCCTGGTCCCAAGTTCAATCCCCAGTACAACAACAACAACAAAAAAAATTCCAGCCACATTTGGAAATTAAAAAAAAAAAAAAAAAGTAATAGAAAAGGATTGAAGATAAATGTTAAGGGCAAGACTTTCTTAAAAAAGAAAAGGAAGCAGGCTGGAGTTGGAATTCAGTAGTAGAATACCTGCTTAGCATGTACAAGGCCCTGGGTTCAATCTCAACACTGCAAAAAATTTCAAGAAGAATGGGCTACCCACAATTCTCATATATAATATAAAGAAGATACAAAATGTTTGTGGGAAAAGAAGTGGGAAAGTTCCTGGGAAAAGAAGAGGAATATGTACCAAGAGATAGAACAAGTTCAATTCTGTTCTACCCTACACTCCTTAAAATTCACCTTCCTAAAATTTTATTTACAACTATTAGAACTGCTCTGAGGCACAGAACATCTTTATACCTGGTTTCAGATAAATGTAAAGTAACATTAAAACTCAAAGTCAAGAAGCTAAACATTTTATTTACCCACTACTGTTTGTATAATTTTATTCTAAGACATTATCCTCACCTACAAGAGGGTTATTTTAATTAAAAGAAAAAGTCAATAGTGCCATTGACTTTATAGTGCCATTCTTAGAAGGTTTACAAAGTTTGACCAGAATAAATCACGGCTGTGAATTTTCGAGTACTCATTAAAATATAGAAATAAATCATGAAAATACAACTTTCCTCCTGTAAATCATTATAAAAATTCTAATGAAGTCAAATAAAATTTAATATTAAGGGCTGGCCAGATAGCTCAGCGGACTACAGCACCTGCTTAGGCAGAGCACAGTGGCTGGGGTTCAGCCCCCAGGGTGCACTGAGGGGGCAATTGAGACTGGGCCTGATAACACCAGCTTGTAATCCCAATGCTTGGGAGGCTAAAAACAAGAGGATCATGACGAGTTTCATCTGTGTAGTGAGACCCTGTAGACCCTGTACTAAATACATACAAAAAAATAAAATAAAATGTAATAGTAAATATTAGGTATCTTTAAAGGATCAAAGACTCCTGCAAAAATCAGGAAATAGATTAATTTTTTTTAAAAAAACATCTATGGAGCCACAGAGATAGCTCAGTAGAATAATCACTTGCCTGGCAAGTGCAAGGGCCTGCGTTTAATCCCTGGTTCTGCCAAGAAAAAAAAAGAAAGAAACAAAAAAGCATCTACATAATTTACATAGCAAACTTATAACTCATTTTTAACCATCACACAGAAGTGATGGAAAAATAATTACAATGTTCCCCCAAACTATACTGAGAATGCAGGAAATAGTCTCATTTTTAACCTCATCAATTTTATGAATTAAAATAGAAATAACAACTCATTATCATAGTACACAAGTAAAAATCCATCTCATCTTAGAATAAACCACAAAACCTTTCAGTGCCTCACAGAATGTAAAATTTTAGTAATTTATACATTTTGTCTGATGTGGATATATCACATTTCTTAATCTCAACAGATAATTCCTACCTCTCTATCTTACTGATTAATCTATCTACTGAGTAGTCAGAATGCAAAGACATAATGTACCTCCAAACTGGAATCATAACACAATATGCCCCAGAGTGATCAGGATCTCAATGATGAAACCAACTAAGTCAGATGGCAGTACAAATTCCTATAACAAAAAGCCACTTTCCAGCTTGATAATCACTACTACTTCTCATTTTCTCTTGTTCTAATATCATATAACATCCACACATACTCACCCCAGAAAAGCTAAAATTCAATAATGACATGCAATTGAAGAGATTAGAAAGAGATAGGACATTGGGGCCGGGGAGGTAGCTCAGTAGAATAAGTGCTTGCCTGGCAAGCACAAGGACCTGAGTTCAATGCCCAATTCTGCCAACAATAAAAAACAAACAAACAAAAAAAAGAGACAGGACAGCATTTTAGAGTTTTTGTTTTGTTTTGTTTTGTTTTTTTAATTCACTATCTTTATGGTGGGAAAATTAACTTTAAAATTCCATTTCAAGGGCCAGCCAAATAGCCCAGTGCAGGGGCCAGGGGTTCGATCTCCAGGCCTGGAATGCCAGCCCTGCCCCCGGGGAGCACTGAGACTGGACGTGGTGGCACGTGTCTGTAAACCTAGCTCTTGGGAGGCTGTAAACAGGCAGATCACTGCAAGTCCAATCTAGTAGTGAGCTCCTGAATAGCCTGTAGACCCTTCCCTACAAACAAATACACACAGACAAATTCCATTTCAAAACTTCAAAATGGAATGCCAGGTATGGTGGTGTATGCCTGTAATCTCAACACTCTCGAAGCTGAGGCAAGACGAATGTTGCAAGTTTGAGGTAAAGGCCATCCTGAACTATATAGCAAGACCCTCTCTCAACAACATAAAGCAAACTGTGACATCCAGAAATTCAAAATAAAAACACTAAGGAACAATAACAAAAGTAAAACAAAAAAGAATTTTATTTATTTATTTATTTATTTATTTATTTATTTATTTATTGGGTGGAATCGGGGATTGAACTCAGATAACCTGCGTTTGCCAGTCAAGCGCTTATCCTACTGAGCCATCACCCCAGCCCCCCAAATAAAGAAATTTTATGTTCATGATAGGCAAAAATTTATAGAGCAAGATATAAAAAGTACCAATCAATAATGTAAATAAATCTATACTTAAATTTTTCTTACAAAAACACACTGCTGGGAAAACAAACAAACAAATAAATAAATAAACACTGCTGGGCCCAGGGAGACAGCTCATAGAATAAGCACTTGTCTGGCAAGTGCAGGTCCTGAGTTCAATGTCCCCAGTACCACAGAAAAAAAACAAAACAAAACACTGCTCATTAGCACACAATCCTAAATTCGATCCCTGGTACCAAAAAAATGAATAAAGAAATAAAACAATTTTGGGCCTGGCAAGTGCAAGGGCCTGAGTTCAATCCCCGGTTCCGCCAAAAAAACCAATTTTGGGGCCAGGGAGATAGTGCAGCAGTATAAGTGCTTGCCTGGCAATCCCTGAGTTCAATCCCTGGTTCCACAAAAAAACACTGCTAAGAAAATAACAGTAAGGCTGGGGAGAGGCTCAGTGGAATAAGTGCTTCCCTGGCAAGCGCAAGGACCTGAGTTCAATCCCCAGTTCCGCAAAAAAACAAAGTAACAGTAATGCCTCAGGTTGGGAAAAAATATTTATAGTACTTTATCTATACTATATCAGGCAAAGCATGTGAATCTCAGTATATATAAAGCACTAATTAAAAAAAAAAAAATCAACCTACTTCAGAAGGTTAACAGTTCTACCCTGCACCTGGAAGGCTGAGGTAGGAGGATACAGGCTTGGGCCACATATTGAGTTCCAGGCTATCCTATACTATGTAGAAAGGTCTTTTCTCAAAACAAGAAAAAAGCCAGGCATGGTAGCACATGCCTGTAATCCCAGAATTTGGGGGCTGAGACAGAAGGATCGCTGTGAGTTCCAGGCCTCTTGGGCTACATAAGCGAGTTCAGGTCCAGCTTGCACTACACAGAGACTCGGTTCCAAAAACAAAAACCCACCCACAAAAAAGAAATGGCCTAATCAAAGACCAAAACCATTAAGTACACTGTACTTCAGTGGTTACTTAACAATGATCTAGGAATAGACAGTTCACAGATGCTAAAAGACTCAACATGACTAATTATGATGATTAGAAAAATAAAAAACATTATGAAATGGGAACAAGAACTAAAACATGTTACGCATATGTACCAATTCTCCCCCAAAATGTAATCATGATATATAGCAAAAATGTACTAATAAAAAGAAATAAAAAGTTAATAAAGATTACAGTGTCAAAATTTTAAGTCCTTGGTCTTAATTATCCAGCAGAAAAATATAAAAACAAAGTATAAGAAGTAAATCCATGCTGTTATGTTGAGCGGTAGGGGACTCAGGTCAACATCTGACATTGCCAGTGAAGCGGAAGACCCAATACTATTATGGACTACTGGACTCTTTTAGAATATTTTGCTGAGTTAACACACCTATAATATTCAAATAACGGAACTTAACAAAAAAAAGGGGATACAGATGAATGTCCATTTTGTATCTGTGTATTCAAAGTGGTTAGGATAGATATATAGTTACATTCTCTTAATGAATAGAGCGATTTGTTCTAATGGTGTTTATAAATAGGATATCATGTCCGCATCTTGTACAGTAATTAACCACTAGGAAGAATGTATGCAATGTGTGAATTATTGAAACTGTCCTACCAATATGATTTGAAACTGTCTCATTACTATTTGTTTATCAATAAAATTGGGCTGGAGATATGGCTCAGTGGTCTAAAGCACCTACTTGAAACAAGCTTGGCAAAGCACAGGGGCCGCGGTTCGATCCCCCAGCACCACATGCCAGCCAGCCCCGCACCCTGGTGGGCTGAGCTGGCCACACACACACACACACAATAAATAAATGTAATAAATAAAAATAAATATATAATTAAAAAATAAATAAATAAATAAAATAAAATTATGGGAAAAAAAATTTAAAAAGGCAGCAAACCAGGGGAAAAAAGGGAAGATTTTACCTTATTGGGGGAATGTGTATCACTATTATATACCCAAAGGAATTACAGTCAGTATACAATGGGATACCTGCATACCTGTGTTTATATGGCATAATTTGTAACACCAAATACCGAAATGCAGAATCAGCCTAGGCACCTTTCAAAAGATCAATGGATATAGAAAATGTGGTACATACATACACTAAGAGTACTATTAGTCTGCCATTAAATAGAACAAAATGGTATTATTTACAGGAAAACAGGTGGAACTGGAGATAATCATGTTAAACACAATAAGCCATCTCTCA